AGTCCCTTGAGACCCTGCCCCTTCACCTGGTTGGTGGCTCACCTGTCCCCTCCCCTTCCCCTGCCCTGAGCTTAAAATGTTAATGAGACCATGCAGCCTCCATTCTGTTGGAGGAATTGTCCCAGTGCAGACCTCTGTACCCATGGAATAAACATCTGGATATAACCCTCCAGCAGAATCCACTCCCTTTCTCTCCACCATTGCCAGAAGCTCTCTCTCCTGAGGTAAACGGAGTCCTGACAAGCCTGGACTTGCACCAGTGCCCCGCTGCAATCTCCAGCAGCCAAGGCATCTCTGGGGTAAAACACCACAGTGCTGCCTTTGGCCCAGCAGCGAGGGTCACACTGACCCAGGCACCATCTAACTGGTTATATTGGGATTCATATTCCAATAGCTGCTGAGCAGAGCTCTGTCGGGCCGAAAGAAAATCTTTTAGATAAACAATTAATAAACAGAGACCGAGAAAAGAACTGAAGCCTCTTCTGTTCCTTTGCCCCAAGGCCACCCCGGGCCTTTCCAGCCCCTCCAAACAGCCAAAACCAAACAGCCCAGCTCACCCTGTGCTGGGGCACTGCAGGGAGAGGAGCAGGGGCTCAGCTGGCACGTGCCCGTGGTGGGCGAGTAGAAATTCAGGCTGCTCCTTTTGGCCTTCAGAGGGGTTTCCTCAGGGGCCTGAAACAGAGAAAAATGCCAAAAAATTCCAGATGAGTATTGACAAAACCTCTCTGAACTTTTTTTTTCCTCCCTAAGTCATTCCTGGCTTTGTGTATTCCCATTATGGAAAGCCTCTGTTAAATGTTGTGCTGGGCTGACTTGGTGCTCATCAAGATTCTCCATCACTTCTTCCTCTCAATAAAATTAGTTTGGCTCTAAAAACTAAAAAATCCTTTCAAACACTTTGTCTGCCAGGTTCCATAAAGAAAAAAATATTTTTTTTCTTTATATATTTAAAAATATATATTTTTTATATTTTATATATTTAAAAATATAAAAATATTTAAAAATAAATATTTAAATATTAAAAATATTTAATATTTTATATATTTAAAAATATATTTTTTTTCCAGGGATTTAGGTATTCTGGCCTGATCACCTCAATGTTCAGGGTTCTTTTAAGCATCTAAACCAAGTTATTCTTTTTCTTCCAGTAATGAGAATTTAAGACACAAATTTATGTTATTGTATCAAAAGGTATTTCTAATAATTATTTAATTTTTTTTTAAAAATTGAAAAAATACAAAGTGAGTCGCTTAAATTCAAAATTTTGTCTGTGGTTCAGGGTTTCAATATGTCTAATGATGTAAGAGGAATTATTGAATGATGTGAAAGGATTTGTGCAGAGAAGTTTTCAGAAGAACAATTCTGCAGTGCTGGAATCAAACTGGGATTATCTGGGACAGGCTCCAGCATGGATGCTGAATTGCAAGGATGAGAAACTGGGGTTTTCTGATAATTTCATGAAATTAAAAAAAATCCAACCCAAACCTTTACTTCACAACCCCCAAGTGCTGCTGTTGGTCATCACTAGTGGGACTCAGAGCAGATTTTAAAAGATTTTAATGCTGCCCACTTGCTTCTGCCTTGTTTTAGTCCCAAATATCTTAAATATTTTCACACCTCTCATTTATACTCTTGTTCCAGTCTGGCAGCATTTAAACTTCACCTGATGGAAATCCTCACTCTGTCTTGCCACATTCAAGCAGGTTAAAGAAATGCTTCCAATAATCCTTAAATGAAATATACTTTAAATTGAAGTATCAATGCCAATTCAGGGATTAACATGTCAGCAAATCTCCTTTTCAACAGGGAGAATCTCCAAACATTTCACTTTTTTTTTCCTGCTTGAACAGCAGTCACCTCACCCATTTCTGGACATGGATAAGGTTATTTCAAACAAAATTCCTGCAGCACTTACAAGAACAATTTTTATTTGTCAGTAAGATTTTCTCCTCCAGGAGGAAGAATTTTACTCCAGTTATGCAATTTTTTAATGATACCACACTAAGATTCCAAAAATCTAAAAATACTCATTCCTAATCTGGTAAATTCATGGTTTTGATCCATGGAATGAGAAACTGTTGATAAAAACAGGGAAGGAATAACAGCAAAGATTAAGCATGTATTTCACCCAAACCATGAGTTTACTACTTTCTGTTTCTTTTTTTCTTTCTATAAAGTTATTTAATTTAAATCTTTGACATGCATGTATTGGAGACATCGTGTGAACTAAAAATCCCTGAGCCTCCACTAAAAGTTTCTGTATTCAGGTCCTGAATATATTCTGTATTCAGTTTTCCTCAGCTCTTTGCTGCACAAGCACCTGACTGCAGGTAAGCATGGATTAACTCTTTTTATCTCATGGGAAGGGATGGCTGTAGGGCAGGAAAAGCATTCCATGGAATTTCAGCTGGACCACTTTACAGAAATTCTACTGCAGCCCAAGAAACAGCTGCTAAATTCCAGTCCCAGCTGCATTCTGACAGAACAAGTTGGGTACTGGTACACTAAGCTGCTAATTAAACTGTTAATGATTTATTTTTGGTGCCACTGTGATATTTTGCCACCTATAATAATAAGTATCCAGAATTTTTTTTAAAAGCCCAATTTCTGCCCTGCTCAATACCACTGAGGGCCCCAAATATATATATATATAGCACATACAAAAACCTCTTGGCATGGAGATTTATTGGGAGCTCGTTTGCTGACCAGCTCTTTCTCCAAAATTTCCCTTCCTTTGCACCCTGCCATGCCCCAGCTGCAGCAGGAGCCACTGTGGGAGGTGACAAAGGGACAAATGTCACCACATGCTGGGGCTGCATTCCCAACCAACAGCAGCAGCAGCACAATTTGATTTTGGTTGTGCTAAGTGCAGTGAAATCAATGGCAGTGTTAGGAGTTGACTGGTTCATGATGCCAGATTAGCTGAGGGAGGTAATTACAGCCCTGACATGGAAATGCCTTTAATGTTTTCATTTCAGTTGTGCAGTTTCTAATATGCAGATTACAGCATTATCATAATTCCATATTGTCACATGTACAATTACATGGCAGAACGTTTGCTTCCCAGGATAATGGAGCTAATTTCTAATAAATGATTTCACCAAGGATCTTAACTCATTCAGCTCTTGGGTAAATAGTGGTGGCAATAACAATGTGCAATTTTTCAAGTGATTCATGCAGATGTACATTACTTAACGCCAGGCAGTTCTGTGACAAATGAAATACAATCAATTTTACACTAATATTTGCAGCAGTAATTTTGTGCTTTAAGATTTGCCCAGACAACATCCAATCTGTAACAACATAAAGGCAGCTAAAATGAAATAGATTGTTTATATCCACATTTATTTCTGCACACAGATATATGTACATATATATTTATACAGCCCAGATGGCTCCACACATCAAAAAATACTTACATTATCTTTTTTAACAGTGTCCAAATTTAATGCTCTCTTAACCCTGCAAGAGAAAAACAAGGACAGGTTTTATGGTCACGTAGACACAAAGATTTCTGTTAGCAAGGTCTATAATTGATAATGCTAAAGACAGTTTCCTTTTTTGGTTTCACATTTACTGATGGCATCCAAAGCAAATCCATTCCCTGAATGTTGCTTGTTTAGGAGGATGAAGTGTTTGCCTAAGAAAATCTGATTCTCCATTTTATACCAGAGATAAAATCCAGGCACTGAAGTGAAATCATGCTGAGTATTTATCTTTTCTCCAAGGCTATAAACAACAAACCCCCCTCCAAAAGCATTTCCATTTACATACCTTCTGAGCAAGGCTTGGAATTATTTTGCCATTAGCCGAAATAATGTTTAAGACATTTAAGACAGAGGTACAGGCAAGGTGAAAAAAGTAGTTTTTCCCATCATTTTAGCTCTTAACATGATTCAGTGCCAGCAGGCTATGGCTTAGCAGGGGAACAGATGCTCTCTGCCTTTACAGGTCCCCAAACCATCAGAAAGTGTTTGCTTCCCTTCTTCCCTCTCCTGATTCAGGAACATGCCAAGCTCTCTCTGCAAAATCTGCTCCTCTGAACTGGATGCCCAGCTGTTAATGGCAACACTGGAAGAGGAAAAGCTGAATATTTATAATACTTTATATGGTACAGCTGTCTGCTAAAGAGCAGTCATCAAAATTTTATTGAATGCAGGCGAAATGCTCCAAGGAAAGAAAGGTCAACATAAATTAAGACTATTTTTCCCAGAGACAACTGAAACTTTTTAAGCACGTTCCTAAATCTTAACAATAGTTTAAAGCGTGATGTAAAACGATGAGAAAAAAAAAATCTTTGTAAGAACAGTCCCCAAGAAACAGATATATTATACTGAATTAAACAAGGTTTGGAATATACATCATATTTCAAGAACTTAGTTCAGTTTTCATCTTGGAAAAAGAATGTTTTGCCGTGTAAGGAATTTAGATGACCTCATTCCAAACATATCCTTTTCAAATTTATGCTGCTATTCCAAAACTGTAAATTAAAGGATTGGGAAAAGAGAATGGAAACACATCTTTGATCTGTAACTCAGGCAAGGGTCTTATATGAAAACTGTTTTACAGCCATCTCTATTACAAAAAGGGGAAAAGAAATATCCTGTCTTTAAAAAGCCAAGTAAACAGGTAACATTTAAATTAAAAAGGCCTCTGAAATCCTGGCCAAAGGGCAGCCAAAGCTGCAACAGTTTGATGGAATTCTTTACAATGTATTTCTTTTTTAAAGAGAACCCCATATAGCTCAAGGAATCCCGACTCCATTACAGCTTCCAGCTCGTGGCAGCAGAGAAAAATTCCATTTATTAATGCACCCACACTGCAGGGCTGCTCTGGGGGCCAATGCATTTGCATGTTCCACGTTCTGATGGAAGTTTTTATGGCAGGTGCCAAAAGGAGCTGAAAGCCAAAGGAAATCAGGAGCAGGATCACAGCTGTGGGATGAAATAAATGAGAAACTACATGAAAATCCCACTGAGTGATAAACCCTGAGAGCATTTCCTAGGGGGAAAGCTGGGCACTGATGAAAGCCTCGTTCTTTGAAGTCTGTCAGATATTGTGTACAGCAACAGAGCAGCACACAGCCCACATTTCCCTCTGCAGGCACCCTGAACTGTGGGGGCAGACAGGGAGCCCCATTCCGAGCCCTTCAGCGTTGGAAAGAGCTGGAATGTTGTGGAATTCTATTGGAATTCTATTAGAAAATAGGATTTTAGCTTTAGGAGATCAACCTTACCTTGTGCCACCCAACAGCCCGCCTTGCTTGGGGGCTTGTTTTCACTGATTGTCTTTTCCATGCCATAATGTGAGAAGTTAAAGCAAAATAATTTAAAATTGCTGCTCCAACTCTACACACAGACCCCTGAAGCCAAATTCATTCCAGCTCCTCACATGAAAACCCTGTTGGCTGAACTGTCCTCTCTCAGATCTTCCAGAAGAAGAACGTGGGGGAAAAACCAAAACATGCAGACAGAACTCCTTGAGTATTTTGGGGAACAACATGAAGAGCACCATTTTTAGTTTGGTTTATTTTTTTTTTAGATATAGCTCACTTTGCCTGTGGTGCAGAACCAAATGTCAGAGTGGAACAAGAAAAGGAGACAAAAAGATGGGGCATTTTTGGTGAGAGTATTCAGCCTGAGTTTCCTACCCCTGAATTAGCCTGACAAGGCTTAATTTATTTTGTTAATCATGCAGAGTATGATGGCACACTTTACAGCCAGCTGTATAACCTGCAGGGATTATTTTTAATATTTATCAGGTTAAAGAACTTTCTTTATTGATCTCCAGAAGCCCACGATGAGCAGAGATACACAAGAGCAGCGCCAGACTTACATGACTTGATTAATGACTTACTGCTTGATAAATTGCAAAATACAGGAGAAAAATGAGCAGGATTTATTCCCACTGGAGACAAAATGAAGAGATACAGCCTGATGGGAAATGGGCATGGGGGTGTCATGCCCTGATCTCCACAGGCCTGCAATTCCTTCCCACCTCTCTGCACACCAAGTGTGTGTGAATCTATAATTTAGTCACTGCTGTAATTGTAGTAAATCCTGTTGAATCACTTTATAAATATTAAATCAGTCAGTGATTAAGTGCTGCTAAACTCTTTTGCACCTGTATCTTTTGTATCCATATCCTTGTCCCCGTGACCCTTTTGCATCCCTGGTCTCTGTGTAAATCCTTATAAATTTATTCTAATCCCATTTTGCTGTGTATGCTCCCTCTGTGTAGGGAGCAACAGAGTGAACCTTGCCATCACTCTGTTGAAGCCACACTTTCACAAATTCATACCAAAATCTAGTTTTTTTTTGCCAATCCCTTTAGTGGTGGCCAAGAGAGGGGTCAGAGGATGGACCAGGCTTTGCCCAGAAATGGGCAGAAAATGAGATTCCACCTGGATGTGAGGAAGAAATTCTTTCCTGTGCAGTGACTGAGCACTGGAACATGTAGGGGCGATAGAATATAAGGAAATAAAGGTAGTACAGAATGTAATCTCACCCCCTAAAGAGTGTCAGCTGAGCCAATTATTAAGGATTAGGAGCAGGCCTCATGTTACCAGGCCATACCTGTAGCCAACAAGAAGAGTGTTATAAAAGAGTGGGGTGGTGGGAGCTGGAGTCAGTTGGCTGCTGCAAGGACAAGGAAGAGTCAATGCATAGAGGAGCTGCCTACAAGAAACATCAAGGAGGTATTCAACTCTAGCAATATGGAACTCTTGCAATGTAATGTAATGGAGCTTTTGCAATATAATGACAACAGGAACAGATTGTTCAGAGATGTGGAGTCTCCCTCACTGGAGATATTCCAGACCTGCCTGGATGCCAGCCTGTGCCATGGGCAAGGCGTGACCCAATGTGGGACCTTTCCAAACGGAACCATCTTGTGATCCTTCATCTTCCCCCCTCCCACAGAGCCCCACAGGTGTTATCCATGCTATGTAGAGATATAGAATCAGAATAACTGGGACTGGAAGGGATCGCTGGAGCTCATCCAGTCCAAACCCCTTGCCAAGGCAGGGTCACCCAGGCTTTGAATGTCTCCAGAGATGAAGACCCCAGAGCCCTGCCACCCTCAGTGCGCAGCAGCTGTTCCTGATGTTGAGGTGGTACTCGTTGTATTTTAGTTTACAGCCATTTCTCCTCGCTGGGCAACTGTGAGCAGAGCGAGCCCCGACCCCTCAGAAATGCAGAATCCCGAGAGGATCCCCCACAGCGGCAGT